GACTACAGACCATGAGTTGACCTAGGTCACAGAAATGGACCGTGAGAACCGGTTTCAGAGCTCAGTGTCTGACCTGAGGCTGACCAGGTCCCACTGCCCAGCCAGAAAGGGCATCCACCCTGCAAATTCTCTCCTCTTTTCTGATCTCTGTAGCTGGCCCTGACATAGGGCCTTGGTGGAGTTCTCCCTAGCCCTGCCAACCTCATCTATCTGTTCAGGCAACTCACATGAAGTCTCCTCTTCATCCTAAAATATCTTTTCTGAGGTACAGGAGGACAGAGGAAAGGACAGGAGTGAGCCATACCAGAGGAGCAGCTTGCAAGCCCAGACCCAGAGCTGGAGTACTGGGGAAAAGAAAGGCAGGGACCACAACAGACAAACATGGAGATGGTATGGGGACAGAGGGATATAAAAGGAAGATAGGGGACCATGACAGACCCATGGAGGTGATATGGGGACATTCTTTAAGAAGGGGTCTTAAAGAATGAAACCTTGATCCTCGGACATAGCAGAGCCAGAAGGAGTTGAGCATGTCCAAGAGGATCTGGCCCCCAAGAGTCACCCTGAGAAATGACAGATCTCAAGTCCCTTTCATATGTTTGTACATGTGTCTGAGTCTAGAGTGATATAGTGGAAGAAAAGTCACACTATTTGTACGAAGCATGCTCATTCAGAATGTAAACAAGGAAATTATCAGAACCCCTCCCTTGTAATGCCTCAGCCTTGGGGTTTTCCCATCTCCCAAGCAAAACCCCAAGATCTCACCCAGCTCCATGCACTCCAGCTTGGTGTTCATGATGAGCTCTCATGGGGACCTCCTTCCTGGGGGCCTGTCAGAGCAAGCTCAGTACACAGTCAGTGGAGTCTCTCAGCAGCAGCTGGCAAGTGTTTTCAATGAGTTGGAAAATCTGGTTGAATGTGTCCTGAAGTCTGGTCCTTACAAGGAAGGCCAGGCATGGGAAGCACTTCTCAATTAGGCCTGCCTCTTCTGTCTGCCTCCATCCTCCTCTCTGTTCTCCAGAGTTTTTTTTTTTTTTTTTTTGAGTTAAAATGTGGCACATCTTTTATTAATATCTTGTAAGACATGCTTCTTCAAGTAAATGGTTCTTTGCCTTGGGGATCAATGTGATAGTGGGGGGAGGTGTAGCTGTGCTTCAGTTTATGTGTGGGTCTCTGGGGGGGAGATGCTGGGCCAGTGTTTGCTGGTGATGCTCACCCCTGCAGGTGCTCCGCTTGCATTTTTGTTGCAAGTATATCTTGCCTCACAAGTACAAACACATATGGCTTTATCTTCCCTTGTGCCTTCTCTTCAGTTTCTGAATGTCTTGAATACCTAGGTTCTGTCTAAATGAGTGGACAGAGGACACACTCAGAGGGCTGCCATGACGTCTCTAACTCAGCAAGACCCCCTGCAGGACAGGGAGACACATGTTTCCAAAGTCATCCTCCACCTTGCTTTACTCTCTTCCAGAACTGGTCTCCTTCCTCCTGCTCTTCCACAGAGTCAGATATAGAGGTATGAGAAACAAAAATCCAGAGCTGCAGCCGCCAAAATATGGCTAGAAAGCAATGCCAGCCATGCATTCCGTATCTCACCACATTGGGGCTCAAAGACGCAAAGGATTTTCTCCCATGTGCCCAGGGAGGTTCTTGCAGAGCCAAGACCTCTCAGCTGCCCCCATCCTATCACACTACCCTGTCCCCCGCGCAGGAAACCCTTTCTCAGCTCAGGTTAGAGCTGAGTGCAGTGTTGCAGATGAGCACAACTGTTCAATGAGATGGTCCCAGCATCCATGGCTGATGCTCACACTGTCCCTAGGATGAGGTGACCAGGTAGCCTTTATTTCTCAAGGAGCAGGAAGAGGAGGGGAGTCCTGCTTCTCTAGGGCAGCATAGTCTTCTTTGTCTCCCCCCCCCCCCAGAACCCTGGCTCTGGGATATCAGAGTGCTGAGGACAGTATGTTCCTCAAAAGAACTAAGGGGAAGGCACAGACCCAGAATCCTAGGCCTGGACCCTGGAAGGGGCTTTAGAGATAATCGATTTTTAAATAATCTCCTCTTGATATGCAGAAACTTGACACACAAGGGTTTGGTGACCTGCCCAAAGAAACAGGGAGAGGAGGCCAAGTTTACAAACCCTGCCCCTTCATCCCCCATTTGGAGTTGATGCTTCTATGCTTCTGTGAGAACAGGCTGACCTGTGCTCAGAGGAAGATGCTGAGTGACTCACTCACGTGGTCAGTACTCTCTGAAGCCCAGCCACCTCTCCTTTTTCTTCCCCACTCCACTCTCTGCTTCCTTAAAGGCAAAGCAGATGAGGAAGGCACAGGATTGAGAACACACAGATGTACCAGGATCTGCAGCTGGCAGGCCCAAGGCCCTTGCTCCAAATCCATTGCTCTAGAGGAGCCTGCACCCTTACCAAAGCCAAGGACCTTGGAGACTGGATGAAGACGGGGCTGTGGGCGACACAAATCATACTCCAAGAACAGGAGCGCCCTCTGCTGTTAGAATGATGAATTGCGGGTTCCGACAGCGTAAGCTATGGCCAAAACAACAAACAACAAAACTAAAACTAAAGAAAAGGCCAAAAATAATGAGACCTAAAGTGGTATCTGGGAGAAAAAAGAATTCCTGACTTCTTTCGTGTAGACCTTAGAGCAAAGGTCAAGGTCCCACCAGTCCCCCCTTCCACTTTTGCCCTCTCCAGGTATTTTCTAGTCTCATTTCAAAGTCAAAGCTGAGTAATAGGAGCCATAAAAACTCCATGACCTCTTGAGTTCCAAGAGCTTATAAATATTCACCGTGGCAACTTTAAGCACAGATCAAAGCTGCAGCCGATAAGATGCAGGACTAGGACCCCTGGGGTACCGCTCCATGTCTGCCACTTTCTACATGTCTTGGACTTTCTGGGCCTCCTCATTCACCTCAGCTGTAGAATGGGTCTTTGGAGTCCTAGGGAATTCCCTTAGGTAACAGATGGCACAGCTTTGGCAAGCTGGAATGGTGAGACCTGACTCAGGCCCCTCAGTTTTCTTCCTTGTTAAATGAGCAGTAGTACCAGGAAGTGGTAGAAAAAACCTAGGGCTTTTCCCCCTCCAGTTCTCTGCTTGAATGCCCACAGGGCAAGGCCTCTGGTGAGTCTATTGCAGCCTTGACAGTTGACAGAGCTCCTACATTTAGGCAAGGCATGCCATTTAAATTCTGCTGGCTCCCTGAGGAATGCTGCACAGAAGTAGAGACCCCAACAGCATCGGAAATTGAAGCTTGGGAGAGCCAAGGAAAGGCCAGTGTTCTCTGGATCTAGAATTTCCCTGAAGCCAGCCCTCAAATGACTTCCCTGGTGTGAGAGGTCAAAATTATGGGCTTGGGGGAGAAGCGTTGTAAGGCAGAGCTACCCCATGTGTCTGGGCCAGCGGCTATGTCTCCTGGTCTCGTTGACAGAATCTACAAAGCAAAGCCATTAAGCGGACCTCACCTATTATCAGTGAAGAATGTGCATGCATTGTTAAGATTATAGCATCGATCAGCCTTCCTGCTTTTATTTTCTGCATGATGCTCTCTTGTTTGAATGTGTTTCCTCAACAGAAATGAGAACTCTCTTTGTCCCTTCTGTGGTCCCAGAGCTGCCGTGGGGGCGGGGTATCCCAGATGCACGTGCAAGGAAGCTTCCAGAGGGACCCAGAATGTTATTACTGAAGGCTAAATGTTCCGTGGCTAAAAGCTGCTGTAGCGATCTTGGCGCCTACTCTGTTTGAATGGGTACATTACTGTAATGTCCCATCGCTGCCATCAGCATGCGGAGGAACTGAGCTATTTGTAAGCATGAGATGCCTGAGCAGCTTAGAGATCAAACGGCAGAGGAGACTTGCGCTGTTTCACCTGAGACAGCCAGGCTCAGGACTTTGAACTTGGCTGATTACCTGTCCCAGAAGCAGTTGCCCAGGGCTTCCTGGGGTGGGGGTGGGGTGTAGTAAGACAGAGTGGTCTAGAGAGAGAGAAAGTAAAAACAGGGAAGAGACAGAGGCAAAAACGTGGACCTGGGAGTCCCACATCCACCCCAAAGCTCCTCAGTCAAGTTCTGTTCCCTGGAGCCACCATCTGCCCTCTAGGCAACTCCTTTTGCCCCTCAGGTTCATGGTTTGGCTTCAAGCTTTCAGGTGAGCGGCTCTCTAGATTTCTGGCCCTGCTGACACACACAGGACAGAAGATGCAAAGGCACCCCCTCCCCAAGGTCTAACATGAGGTGTAGGCAGGGCTGGGGGCCAAGATTTAAGGGGTGGAAAAAGATGTAAGCATTGTGGGCAGGATCAACATGTCAAGACCATGTTACCATGCATGCAAGGCTAGTTCTGAGATAGAACTTTTACGGCACTGAACCTTCCCCACCAAGTCCTTTTGCGCTCTGGGTGTGCTCCTCTTCATAGGTTCCTATCTACACCCTGTTTGATGCACCTTTGACGCTTATTCCAACATTGGGAAGGAAGGAACTGAGTGCCCTTTGGCATAACTCTAATGCCCATAACAAGATAAGGTATTTGCCCTCCTTTTTTATTTTTTCTTCCAGATCCTCAGAAGGTCTCTGGGTCTTGATTTTGTCTCTGTAAAGAACAGAGTAGAAGTTAATGCCTTTTACTGTCCTGTTTATTTCTTTTAATAATTTTTATTTTTATATTAATTACAGGTTATTTACTTTGTATCCCAGCTGCAGTCCTCTCCTTCACTTCCTCCCAACCCGACCTTTCCTCCGTCATCTCCTCCCTGCCCTCTCTAAGTCCACTGCAAGTGGAGGTCCTCCTCCCCTTCCATCTGACCCTAGTTTATCAGGTCTCATCAGGACTGGCTGCAATGTCCTCCTCTGTGGCCTAGCAAGGCTGCTCCTCCCTGGGGGTGTTCATAGAGCCAGCCACTGAGTTCATGTCAGAGACAGTCCCTGTTCCCCTTACTAGGGAAACCAACTTGGATGCTAAGCTGCCATGGGCTACACACCTGAGCAGAGGTAAAAACAGTGGTTAGATGTCATGAAGTAGGTGGCAATGCCTTAACCGTATGTGTGTTGATAAGCCCATGGGTCTCTTCCATCCTTGTCAAGGCAAATGCTAACCTTCTCTCCTTTCATACAACACGGTCCTGTTAATTTCTAACCTGTGTTCTTTTTTTCTTTTTCCTTTTTATTGAAAATAGACTTTTTTTTCACATAATACATGTTGATTAGAGTTTCCTCTCCCTCTACTCTTCCCAATTCCTCTCCTCTCTCCTCCCATTGGGATCCACTCCTTTTCTGTCTCTCTAGAAAACAAACAGGTTTTAAGGAAAAGTAATAAAATAAGATAAAACAAAAACTAACATGCTTGTATTGGACAAAACAATCAAAAGGAAAAGAGCCCAAGAGGCAGCACAAGAATTAGAGACTCACTGTTTTGCACACTCAGGAATCCATAAAAACAGTAAACTGAAAGCCATTATATACAGGCCAAGGACCGGGTGCAGACCTGTGGACCCGGTGCAGACCTGTGCAGGCCGCATGCAAGCTGACAGTCTCTCTGAGTTCATGTGAGCTTTGATCATGTTGGTTTAGAAGGCCTTGTTTTCTTGGTGTCCTCCATCCCTTCTGGCTCTTACTCTCTTCCTGTCTCCTCTTCCTCACGGTTTCCTGAGCCCTGAGAAGAGTGATGTGGTAAAAACTCCTCATTTTAGGGATGAATGTCTTCTTAATGGCACTCTGTCACCCAAATTCACATTTGTACACAGTCTCCTCTAGCCAGGCCTGACTTTCTTAGATATTCTGGTGGCTGCCTTACCTCTGCCTCTCCCCTGTCCCATCACATCACCTGAATTCTTCCCAACCCATCCTTATTGAATTTGCTGTTTGTTTTATTAATTTATTGACATTGTGATTGTGTGTGTGTGTGTGTATGCCCATCTGTTCAAGCACATTAGTGCATGCACATGTACTATTACAAGTCCATGTACAAAGAAATCATTTCTCTCTTTCTACTGTAAGAGGTGTGGGATCAAACTCAGGTAGTCAAGCCAGGCAGCAAGCAACCTTATTTTCTGAGCCATCTCACCAGCCCCCTCATTCTTATATAATTATAGTACATAATAATAATTACTCTAACCATTCATGTACAATATGGCAGCACCAAATGTAACTTGGGTGTTATACAATCACCATCACTATCTATAGCCATCATTTATAGTACAACTGAACCCCCAACTAAACCCTGTAAACAGTAATTCCCCATTCCTTTGTCTGTCTGTCCCCCACCAACTTTGCACCTTACCTCTGTAGATTTGACCACCCTAGAACCCTTACCTGAGCAAATTCACCATTCTTTGTCTGGCTTATTTCACCTAGCACAATGTTTCCAAGATCCATCCATGTTGTACCACATATCAGATTTCCACACAAAATTTTCATTGATATTCATCTAGCCAATTAAGATCCCATTGTAAACCACATTTCTCCATTCATACACCAGTGAGCACTTTTATTCCAGGCTTTTAGCTATGTGAATAATGAATGCTTAGTGTACATGGGTGTGGAGAAATCCATTTGAGTCTCTGCTTTCAGGTTTTCTGACTGTAGACTTAGGAATGGAAGCACTGGGCAGGCATTATCTCTGCATTTGTTTTTCTGAGGAGTTGCCAAAGTGTTTTCAAGTGAGGTCTCACTATTTACATTGTCACCAGCCTGGTGGGGTTCCAGCTTCTCCATGTTGAGACCAACACTGTTATTTTCCTTTTGTTTTTATTGTAATGACTACTATAATCATGATTATACTTACACATATGAAGTGCTTTCACTCCAAGCGTGACTCCTCTCAACACCTAGGATCCTTGTATTAATTGTCCTAATTTTTCAGCACATTGAGTATAACCTATGTACTTTAAGAATGACAGTTCTTGGAGGGTAGGAATTGTCTACTTATGGTTCTGAGTCTCATGACATCGTTTCCACTTATTGTAAGGAGGGCAGGAGAGGATAGCTCACAGGTCCCACCACATGAACCTGTGTTGGCCATTACTGTCTGCTTTAGACTGCAAGTTCCTCAGTCTAGCTGTCCCTGTCCCTCTAGTTAAAAGGATCTTAGAAACCAAATGACTTGAAGATAGCTTTTTGATAATTGGGAGTAAAAGAAATGAAAGAGGAAATTTTATTTTACTTTATTTTATTTTATTTTATATTATTTTATATTTAAGGACCTCAGGACAAAAAAAATGCAGGACCCAAGGGTGATGAGAAAGGACACTGAAAGAGTGAACCAATCACAGAATCAAATCTCCAGAGAGTTGGAACCTGCAAGCAAATCCTCCTCACCTCCTTTCTGTGGCTGTGTATGGACCTCAGCTGCAAAATGGCTGCACACCCCCTGACACCTTAATCACCTTAGATTTGGCATGCTGAGGAGCATGGCTTCTCCATGGGCTCCTGCCAGGATTCAAGAGAGCCTTGGCTATCTTTTAAAATCAAGCTGGAGACCCAAGCAAATTCTCAGTTGTTACCAACACAACTGAAGCTCTGGCACTGGCAAAGGACACACTGCTGGACCCTTAGAGGAGTTCAGGCTACTCTGAGACAAGGGAGATGGGGGCAGTGGCAGTTACGGAAGCTGTGTGGTCCAGATAATCAGGCCATTTCACATAGCTACATCTGGTCTAGGCAGCCACAGGAAAGGCAAAAGAGCTCAGAGGTCCACTAACCAGAATAAGCAGAAGCTAGAGAGTAGGAGCACAATGGGGGCCGAGAGAGGAATGGAACAGAGTGATCAAAAGTAAATTCACTGCAATAGGTCTACCCCTGCAATCAGTTCCTGGTTTCTTCTTTCTCCATCTCTCTTCTAGTCACTATCAAAGCAAAATTTATGAAGGGCTCTAGGCATTGGATAGTCCTTGTATTTCAATCCAACTTTTCACAATCTCAAGTGAACAGCTTGGCTGTCTCTGCCTGTCAGGGAATTTAAATTGCAGATGGGATAGTGAACAGGCTGCCCTGAGCAGGAGCAGCGCCTCTGCTGAGCATCATCATTGCTTAGCAACTACAGGTCTATGGGGCAGCCGGAAGTTCCGCTCTGGAAAATGCCCTTGACCCAGGGCATCTCTCAGGAAATAAGAGGAAGCTTCCCAGAGAAGAGCACAGACAGACAGGCAGTCAGCTTGTGTCACACCTCAGCCAGGGTCAAGCAGCTCAGCCAGGGGACATAATCGGCTTCCTTCTACACAGCCATTGCTGCATGTGTTTTCTGTGACATGCTCTCACAGATTCCATGTCATTTTTGACACTCCATTGTTTCAGAGATTGTTTTCTAACTAAACATGAGGTCTCTTCTCTGTGTCTTCTACTTCACACACAAACAACAAGTAGAGAATGATCTAATGAGTGACCCGTGAGAGTGCACACACACACATACTGGGTGAGGGTATACCTCTACTGAAAAACAAATTGCCAACAAATAAACATAGCCAGTGCAAAAGAGACCCAGCCCACTAGACCTGCTCCTAGTTAGTCCTCACTTGTCCATAGCATCTGTATAATTATGAGATCTGCTTTGACCAGACGTATTAGTAGCTTGATCAAGGGACTCCACACTTAACATTCTATTCTGTAAGTCACAGATGACCCCAGAGTGTGCAAGCACATCAAGGCACACTCTTTTGCTCATATAATTGTCTTTGAGAATAAAAATGTGGGGAGTAGTGAGTGGCTGGCATACCTACAGATACTGGTATCCCATTGACTCTGAGTCATTATGTGCCCCACATGCTTACCCAGAAAAGTTACCAGACACAGCCAGCTCCAGCCTGTGCTTGGGAGACAACAAACATGTATCTGAGTGTGTGTGGGGGGGGGGTGCTGAAGTATATCTTCCTTAATAAAAAAAATATGTTGGAGCACACCACATAGCACAGAATGTGTCCTTATAGGCTCTCTGCAGAGTGAATGAATTCAGATAAAGCCCTGGTTGACTGCTCCCCTTAGGGAAGGCAGAGCCACCATATGACAAAGCAAAGACACAGGAACATGGGTGATGATGGAGGAGGAGATGGGACCACACAACCAAGGAAACCCAAGGCCACAGCAGCTGGAAGAGCTGGCGATCCCTCTGTAGATCTTCGGAGGTGGCACAGTCCTGCGAACACTATGATCTTCAGAAATATGGGCCAGTACTTTCCTAGGGGTATAGGTGGCCCCATTTGCATTCCTATGTAACTAATCCAAAAGCTGGCATACAGCTCAGCTGCTAGAGTGATTGCTTGTGTAGCATGCATAAAGCCCTGGGGAGTTTAAATCTGAGAATATACACTAGGCACACCTTGAACACCAGTATGTAAGTAGACCGATCAGGAGTTCAAGGTCAACTACACAGCAAATTCCAAGTAGCCTGAGCTACTTACAACCTTGTCTCAAAAGAGAGAGGTGTTTGGGAGAGGGAGTAAAGTAGCTAACCGAGATCCTTGGTCACCAGAATGGCCCTATGTAAGCATAGCAGCACCTTAAAATGTGATTTGAGAAAAAGGATATGCCTGTGACAGAGCTGACAGCTGGCACTGTTGGCTGAGCCGTGGGATGCAGATGCCCAGGTGAGGGCTGGGGCCTTGAATATCTTTGTGATTTGGAGCAGGGAAATTGATACTGACTCTTTAGCTACACTGACGTTTTCATGGCCCTGAGTGTTCAGTCAGGGGTGGTGCCCTAACTCTCACCTCATCCTCCTCAGATGCTGCCTGGCCTGTCATTTAGCCTGTACCACCTCAACAGAGGAATGAGGATTTTCCAGGGCAAGCGCTATCCTGTATCCCTCTGCGTATCCCAGAAAGTGATACATTATTTAATAGCTGCCCAATTAATCTGTGGGAGATTGACGCATGAGGCATAAAAATACAAGAATCATAATTTTCCCAGAATATAACCAGGAGAAGTCAACTCAGCCCCCTTCATGTCTGAGTTATTGCTGCTACGACGTCAGTAACTTATTGGCATGAGAATAATTGTAGCTTTCCATTTACCTAATCAGAATGTTTATGTGAGGCACTTGACTTCATGTTCCTGGTGGATACGGCTTTTGCAGATGAGTGAGAGAATGTGAGTGTGGACATGCATGAACATATACAAGAATGTGTG